CATCTAGTTAACTTATTATTATTTGATATAAAAGCCCAAATAGTCACAAGTATTACACAACTGAAAATCCACCAGAAAAGCAGGTCTAACTCCCTCCGCGGCAAAACTCGCGTCGACCAGCAAAAAAATCAACACCACCACCGCACAAGTCTACATTGCGATGCTACATAGTCTTTTGTATATGGTACGTTAGTTTCCTTGAATTGCTTTGATTTGAAGTAAAAGGAGTTACCGTATATTATATTTTATACAATTTGTGAGCAACAAAGCTATATATTAAAAAGACAGACTGGGAAGCACCGTGCTATTCCCATAGTTAACTAACCTTAAGTTCGGATTTGCGATAACCAACGGTTTTACTCTAATCGCGGAGGGCCTTTTTACATATTTGGATGTTGTTTAGTATTCCTACTATCTTTGGATGAGATGTGTTGTCCCCGTAAATAACTCTCATCATGTCCAATGACTGTTCAAAATAACTAACAGCTTTCCTCTGATCACCGATTCCATTCCAATATGCCCCAATGTTGTTTAGTGATAAAGCAATGTCGGGATGTGGCGTTGTTTCGCCATATCTAGCTTTCCTCATCTTCAGTGACTGTTCGAGATAACTGATAGCTTTCTTCTGATCACCAAGGTCACTCCAGCAACTACCCATGTTGTTTAGTGATGTCGCAATGTCGGGATGTGGCGTTGTATCACCATAGATAGCTTTCATCATCTTCAGTGACTGTTCGAGATAACTGATAGCTTCCCTTTGATCACCAAGGTCACGCCAACAATTGCCAATGTTGTTAAGTGATGAAGCAATGTCAGGATGAGGCGTTGTTTCGCCATAGATAACTTTCCTCATCTTCAGTGACTGTTCATGATAATTGATAGCTTTCCTCTGATCACCAAGGTCACGCCAACATGCCCCAATGTTGTTCAGTGATAAAGCAATGTCGGGATGTGGCGTTGTTTCACCATAAATAGCTTTCTTCGTCTTCAGTGACTGTTTGTGATAACTGATAGCTTTCCTCTGGTCGCCAAGGTCACTCCAACATGCTCCAATGTTGTTTAGTGATGAAGCTATGTCAGGATGTGGCGTTGTTTCACCATAGATAGCTTTCCTCATCTTCAGTGACTGTTCATAATAATTGATAGCTTTCCTCCGATCACCAAGGTTACTCCAACATGCCCCAATGTTGTTTATTGATGAAGCAATTTCGGGATGTGCTGTTATTTTGCCATAGATAACTTTTATCATCTTTAGTGACTGTTCTAAATAACGGATAGCCTTCCTCTGATCCCCAAGGGCACTCCAACATGCTCCAATGTTGTTAAGTGATGAAGTAATGTCGGGATGAGGCGTTGTTTCACCATAGATAGCTTTCTTCATCTTCAATGACTGTTCGTAATAACTGATAGCTTTCTTGTGATCACCAAGGTCATGCCAGCATACACCAATGTTATTTAGTGATCCAGCAATTTTGGGATGTGGCGTCGTTTCGCCGTACATAGCTTTCTCCATCTTCAGTGCCTTCTCGAGATAGCTTACAGCTTTCCTCTTATATCCAAGTGTCATCCAACATAACCCTATGCTCCCAAATAATGGGGCAAATACGGTACTCCTTTCTGTGCCTCTATATATATCCTTTCTGATGCTAAGTGACTGTTTGAAGTAGGTGATCGCTTTCCTACAGTCACCGCGCCTGAGCGAGACATCGCCTAGGTCAAAAAGAATTTGTGATTGTTTTTTCTCGTCACCGCCCACCTCTTCCAGTGCTGCCTCAAAGTTACGTATGGATGCGTCTAACTGCAACAGTTCTCCTGTTATTTGACCCCTGATTTGAAATGAGGTGTCAAAGATTGCTGTTGGGAATATCTTTGTCGTTGCATCTTTATTTGCGATTGTATCGGTAATGCATCCTTTTAATGGAATAGCTGTATAATAGTACCTGAACAACATTTTAGAGTCCGGTATGTAGAAAACTGACTGAACGAAAGTGTCATCTACGTCATGTTTGTCCAGTTGGACTTTCATCTCCGTGAGAGGAGACAGTCTGTCCTTCTGTCCTCCATTCGCAATGTATGTTCTTAACCGCAGCTCCGCTGAGATGCTGATCAGTACAGTCAAGTGGTGGGCATCTTCGTGACTGATCCGCTGTGCCTTGTGTAACTCTTCTATCATTCCCCACACACTCGGAATCGTAATACCACAGCAAATACTCAACACATCAACGGCCACGCTGGGAAAACGATATATTTCTTTCTTCACATCCAGAAGCTGTCCCGTAGGTTTAACATTTTTTATTTGCCCAATATCATCCTTTAGTATCAGCAATGCTGACAACCGTGACAGCACAGGGGAACGGTACCGGTCCAAGCTTTTGTTGACCCTGTCCGTATAATCATCCACCAAAGACTCGTCTCCAGCTAAGTAGGTCACCCGTCTGAGGATGTCTGACAGGTGATAGCCTTCCGCCAGGGCGATGTGCAGAAGCTGATATTCGGCCAACTTGGCAGGAGTCTGGATGAGACTAACGGGAGGTTTGCTTTTGGTTTCGTCTCTTCCAAAGGGAGTTTTAGAAGCCCATGGCATGAATCCGTCGAAGGCGAAGCCGCGAGGTGTGACGGAGTCGAAGAACCAGTCTTTCTCTGGGTCTTCTGAGAGAAAGTCGTTGAGTGACGGGATGGCCATGGCTGGGAGGATGGTTTCCCCAAGGTTGATGACTTTAAGATGTAAGTAGTGTGTGAGATTTAGGAAGTACCTCCGTGTATCATCATCATCCTTCCCCTCCTCAATCAGAATTGAGAACTCCAGGTCGGAGTACGGCGTCACCAGTTCTGTGGCCTGTGATCCCAACCCGATGAAAGCGTACTTACAGGGAGGAGGTCCAAGTTTGGCAATGCATTCATTTGTCAGAACATAGATAAACTTTTGTCTACTAAATGCGATGCTTTTGAACAAGTTCTTGATTGCTTCTGCTCGTTTGATCTCTACCTCTCTTACTATGGGATCATCTTCATTATACTGATAAGGGTTGTGTTCCTGATGAATTGTTTCGAGCTGAGATTTTGCACGGGCGCGCGAGTTGTCCAGTTCCTTTCTGTGATCTAACGCGCTGCTATACGGACACGGTTCACAGTCAAGGTTACAGGTGTTTCTAAGAAACTGCCTTTCTGTTTCTTGCAGTCTTGTTATCATGTTCTGTTTGTCTCCATCTGTTCTAGCCATGGAGGCGTTATACAGAGCTGCCGCCTGTGTGAATTTCCTACCTTCTCCTGTCCGCTTACCTCGCTGGACGTAGACGTCACCCAACCTGCACAGACAGTCAGCTTCTTTAGCCTTGTTGGGCTTATTGCGATCTGTGAATAGGAATTCGGAATCAAACTTCTGCAGTTCAACTTCACCTAATAATATGATTAAATCTTGACAAACACTGAGGTCTTAAGTGAAATACCTTTATGGTTTTAATAGATACAAATCTTCCATGATAAAAAAAAATGCTATTTCAGTGGTTAGTAAAAAACTTATAATTAGATGACATTTGCAAGTGGAAAGTGTATAACACAACAAACCGTGAACAAGTTTCAGTGCGGCTGCTAAGTTCTGCTCTGCTGCGTCCAGGTCTCCATTTCTCACATCACTTTCTGCCGTCTGAATGTATCTGCGGTAGGATCTGTACAAGGAAACAAACACTATTGGGAAACAAACGTACTTCACAAAGGCAAGTTCATTACTTCTTATTATATACAATAGAATGCCAATACTTTTTTTTATTTTCTTACATAAATCTGTATAACCTATAGCTATATATAGTTAGTGTTATTAACAATATCAAAACTTAATGTCATACGACACAATGTAATGACACATGTAATACATTTCTGGCCATATTTTCTAATGTTGCCTAGTTAATACTAGTATTCATTTCACAAAACCTGATTTTTACCACACTTGTATACAAAATATCAGATATTCAGGACATTCATATCTAATACACGAGACAAGGAAACACATAGAGGCACTAACATGTCGTCGTCAACTTGACAGGTGGTTCCGTCGCTAGAGGGCGCAGCTGAGAAGGGAGAGAAGTGGCCCTTCCGTCCTCTCACGTCTGGTTGTCGTTGCTTATGTGTTGGCCTCTGTGATAACCCATAGGGAGTAGTAGTATAAGATTAACCCACAAAAGAGCTTTGGCAAAACGTCAAAGGTTAACGACCTGACATGACCCGTGGCAGACCAACGCAAACTTAGTCCATGTTGAATACCTTTTCGAAACCCGGAAGTCTAGAAATCGCCACTGCAAGTCAGGCTCTAGTAAAAAAAACATACACTCACCTTGTTTCTTGTGGTGGTCACGTCTTGTCTGATTTTTGCGGTGTGCAGTAAGCGGTGAACAATGACAACTGTTCCATGAACGTTGTGACACCGCGCCAGTGCCCTGTTGTACAGAGCAGTAGCTCTGGTCAAGTTTCTAGTGTCTCCAGATTCTGTTCCTCTTTTTAGGTACACGTCACCTAGACTCTTGATCGCTTCTGTTTCTAACATGTCGTTGTCGTTTACTATCGCCTCTACCATCACCTGTGCGTATCCAACCAGCAAAGAGTCCGCGTTACCTTCGGTAGCCCGTCTCTTGTCCAGGTATTGAAACTTTTCCGCTACCTTTGCAGGTGTAGTCGTCCTCCTGTCTTCAGTTGGCTGTTCCATACCCTGTGACGACACCCCTTGTAAAAGCCTCTCCGTGTAGTGGTAGCGGTGTTCTATGCCATCTGCCTGTTCTTCATGGTAACACCGTACCATAGCAGCCAGATAAAGCGCCAAGGCCGTGTTGAATTTCCTCGCGTCCTTCCCGAGTCTTCCCTTCTCCGAGTTCACGTCGCCCAGAGTTTTGAGCAGCTCCACTTCCGCCAGCCTGTCCGTGTCGGCCATGGCGTCCACCAGGGCACGGAGGTAGCCTGTCTCCGCACGGGCTAGTCCGTACCTCCTGCCCTTCTCGTCCGCCTCACGGAGTTTCTCACACACCCGCAACATGGCTGATCGTTGCTATACTAAGAAAATGTCTCTAAAACTCATTGCCTTCACGGGTTCCGGGTCTTTATGCGCCTGACTTGAACAAGCACAGGTTTCACACTGCTTGTGTCAACATTACGTCATCCGCCAATACACAAAAGCTTCGGAAATACCCGTAAACATATCAGGTAACCTGCGTACCTGTCTAAGACCTCTAGAAGTACCCATGCCTGTGACTCATATATATCTGTACAAGCAGAAATTACAGTATTATATTAGGCTTTATGTACCTGACTTAATATGCAAAAGATGAAAAAAAGTAGGAGTATTTGGCCACTCTACCTCCATGCCACATTTCAGGTCATTTAGGCCCCAAAAAATGAAGAAAGTGAATGCATTCAATGGCAGCAGAAGGAGAAAAGAAGAAAAACACAAGGGAAAACAATATATCCCAGCCATACCTATGCTATGGACTGAAATATCACACAATATATTTTAGCCCTAACGTTACATGGTATGATTGAAATATAATCACTCGGTTCTTCAATTGAAATATTTCAAATTTCTGATAATCCCTCCATGGCTTTTGAGTTATCGTACTAAACCACACACATGCATGCAGATACTACCAAAACATAACCTCTAGGCAAGTTTAAAAACATAAATTTGTGAAAATTCGTCAACATTGATTGAGATGCAATTTAACGTTACCTATCTTGATGACGTTCTATCGTTATGAATTCAAGCTTCCTGGTTACTAAAAAGTATTAGTTAGAGAAATATGAAGCCTAAAAACTTAATGAGTGCCCCTTCCCACATCTGCTTGAAAATGAGCTCTCCGGGCAATCATTCATTCTCGGTACCAGTCGGTACTAGTCGGACGATCCCCGATTTGTGCCGACAACTCCAAGCAGATCTTTCTGTGGCTGCAAAGACAGTATCAAATTGTCCAGGCAGTACTAGTATCCGCTCGTCGGACAGTTACCATTTATAGTAAGAGAGCCCAATAAAACGCCTTAAACATCTTCCGTTGCATCCTTTGGTTCGTCTATCTTTAAGCAGACCTTAAACCATGCGTCAAGCTACACGAAAGTAAAGACACGGAAACTTTACGCATGTTTTAAGGGATCCGTAAAGAAGAGTTTTGTCCTGTGATAATTTTATATGTCCATAAAGACATAACATTAACCTGTGCATGGGTTTAGGTCTTAACGGTAAGAGTGTAAGACTAAAGAGACACACCCCTGTCATTATACAATAGCACAGCCCGTTGACCAAAACAGAGAGCATGGTCTATATTTATTACCATGATTAATGTTTTTTGCTGCAATATGTAAAAGTCACATAGGAGGCGCGGATGATAAGTGCATACGGAGTTAGATTGTGGTGTTTGGGATTATGTCAACTGGAATTCAGCAAATGATTCTGGTCTGATACTGCGGCATTTAAGGTTAACTTGAAAAGGGACGTGGTAGGACTTCCTTAACCCCTGTGACCCCCCCCCCACACACACACATATGGTTTCATTAAATCATTGTTTTCTCCATATAAGTTTCTTGAGTTGTAGTCTATGATCCATTACAAATAACGTAGTCACTAGGAATATTTAAAAATCACTTTTACTAACACTTGTTTATCATGTGAATTTTGTCAAGGGAGGAATATTGTTAGCTACATCATTTCTTTGTTTTGTTTGTTTGTTTCGCATAACCGGTAAACTGCCTTTAGGCGTAACACACCAGTTTTGTACATGTAAGTACAAGCTATGTAAGATCGGATTGTAAGGTTGGAACCACTCATACCGCCACCACCGAGACCAAGGCCAATCACCTACTTTTACAATACACCGTCAAGTTTTGTACTTAGTTTTACTCCAAGTGTCCTTCACTAAAACACTTTTAGTACGAAACATGTATTAGAATCTCATCGAGTTTCTGAGTTAATTATCTACATTCTCACTGGATGCTTATCATAGAGAGACAAAGAGGCGGGATGGGCTTGGTAAGTTTAATGTTGTAAAACATGACAATCCACGGGTGGGTGGGTAGGAGAAAGTTCAGATGTGCTCAAGTACGTGAGCTTTACCACTACCGCTACTTGTGATGTTAATAATAATGAAACTTTATTGCATGTTCATTCCCCGGGGGGATAAATGCACGGATGTACAAAGTACAATATACTAAAGAGTACTACAACAATAGTAATAAAGAAAGGCTAATATCAGGTCCAAGGTATACAATGCTAGAAAAAAAAATATATATATATAAAGTGGTATTGATCTAAGTTCTAATGGCTTTTTCTCTCACATACAACGGATGATCTCTGGGTCGCGTGAGGTCAGGGGTCATTTCCGTGCAGCTAGTTAACTTATTATTATTTGATATAAAAGCCCAAATAGTCACAATTATTAGACAACTGACAATCCACCAGAAAAGCACGTCTAACTCCCTCCACGGCAAAACTCGCGATCGCGTCTAACAGCAAAAAATCAACACCACTGCCGCACAAGTCTACATTACCATGCTACATAGTCTATTGTATATGGTACGTTTTAACTTAGTTTCCTTGAATTGCTTTGATTTGAAGTAAAAGGAGTTGCCATATATTATATTTTATACAGTTTGTGAGAAACAAAGCTATATATTAATAAGACAGACACTGGGAAGTACCATGGTATTTCCTTAGTTAACTAATTTTAAGTTAACTAATCTTAAGGATCTGCGATAATCGACGGCTTTACTCTAATCGCGGAGGGCCTTTTTACATACTCGGATGTTGTTTAGTGCTACTTCTATATTTGGATGTGATGTGTTGTCCCCGTAAATAACTTTCATCATATCCAATGACTGTTGGAAATAACTGATAGCTTTCCTCCGATCACCGATTCCATTCCAACATGCCCCAATGTTGTGCAGTGATGACGCAATGTCGGGATGTGGCGTTGTTTCACCATAGATAGCTTTCCTCATCTTTAGTGACTGTTCGTGATAACTGATAGCTTTCTTGTGATCACCAAGCTCACTCCAACAGATGCCAATGTTGTTTAAAGGTGAAGTAATGGAGGGATGTTCTGTTGTTTCACCATAGATAGCTTTCATCATCTTCATTGAATGTTCGTAGAAACTGATAGCTTTCTTCTGATCACCAAGGTCACTCCAACATGCCCCAATGTTGTTTAGTGATGAAGCAATGTCAGGATGTGGCGTTGTTTCACCGTAGATAGCTTTCATCATCTTCAGTGACTGTTCGTAGAAACTGATAGCTTTCGTCTGATCACCAAGGTCACTCCAACATTTACCAATATTGTTTAGTGATGAAGAAATGTCGGGATGTGGCGTTGTTTCACCATAGATAGCTTTCATCATCTTCAGTGACTGTTTGTAGAAACTGATAGCTTTCTTCTGATCACCAAGGTCACTCCAGCACTTGCCAATGTTATTTAAAGATGAAGCAATAGAGGGATGTGGCGTTGTTTCACCATAGATAGCTTTCATCATCTTCAGTGACTGTTTGTAGAAACTGAGAGCTTTCTTCTGGTCACCAAGGTCACTCCAGCACTTGCCAATGTTATTTAAAGATGAAGCAATAGAGGGATGTGGCGTTGTTTCACCATAGATAACTTTCTTCATCTTCAGTGACTGTTCGAAATAACTGATAGCTTTCCTCTGATCGCCAAGGTCACTCCAACATGAGCCAATGCTGTTCAGTGATGAAGCAATGTCGGGATGTGGCGTTGCTTCACCATAGATAGCTTTCCTCATCTTCAGTGACTGTTCATGATAACTGATAGCTTTCGTCTTATCACCAAGGACACCCCAACAGTTGCCAATGTTGTTTAAAGATGAAGCAATGTCGGGGTGTTCTGTTGTTTTGCCATAGATAGCTTTCCTCATCTTCAGTGACTGTTCGTAATAACGGATAGCCTTCCTCTGATCGCCAAGGCTACTCCAACATGCTCCAATGTTGTTAAGTGATGAAGCAATGTCTGGATGTGGCGTTGTTTCGCCATAGATAGCTTTCCCCATCTTCAGTGACTGTTCGTAATAACTGACAGCTTTCTTCTGATCACCAAGGTCACGCCAACATGACCCAATGTTATTTAGTGATCCAGCAATTTCGGGATGTGGCGTTGTTTCACCATAGATAGCTTTCTTCATCTTCAGTGACTGTTCGTGATAATTGACAGCTTTCCTCTGATCGCCAAGGTCACTCCAACATACTCCAATGTTGTTTAGTGATGAAGCAATGTAGGGATGTGGCGTTGTTTTACCATAGATAGCTTTCATCAACTTCAGTGACTGTTCGTGATAACTGATAGCTTTCTTCTGATCACCAAGCTCACTCCAACATGAGCCAATGTTGTTCAGTGATGAAGCAATGGAGGGATGTGGCGTTGTTTCGCCATAGATAGCTTTCCTCATCTTCAGTGACTGTTCGTGATAACTGGTAGCTTTTTTGTGATCACCAAGCTCTCTCCAACAATTGCCAATGTTGTTTAGTGATGAAGCAATGTCGGGATGTGGCGTTGTTTCACCATAGATATATTTCCTCATCTTGAGTGACTGTTCGTGATAAGTAATAGCTTTCCTCTGATCGCCAAGGTCACTCCAACATCTTCCAATGTTGTTCCGTAATGAAGCAATGTCGGGATGTGCTGTAGTTTGGCCATATATAGCTTTCATCAACTTTCGTGACTGTTCGTGATAACTGATAGCTTTCTTCTGATCACCAAGCTCACTCCAACATGAGCCAATGTTGTTCAGTGATGAGGCAATGTCGGGATGTGGCGTTGTTTCACCATAGATAGCTTTCATCATCTTCAGTGACTGTTCGTAATAACTGATAGCTTTCTTCTGGTCACCAAGGTCACGCCAACATAAACCAATGTTATTAAGTGATACAGCAATTTCGGGATGTGGCGTCGTTTCGCCATAGATAGCTTTCCTCATCTTCAGTGCCTTCTCTTGATAGCGTATAGCTTTCCTCTGTTCTCCAAGTGCCCTCCAACATAACCCTATGCTTCCAAGTATTTGGGCAAATACGGTACTCCTTTCTGTGCCTCTATATATATCCTTTCCGATGCTAAGTGCCCGTTTGCAGTAGGTGATCGCTTTCCTATAGTCACCGCGCCTGTGCGAGACATTGCCTAGGTCAAAAAGAATTACTAATTGTTTTTTCTCGTCACCGTCCGCCTCTTCCAGTGCTGCCTCAAAATTACGTATGGATGCGTCTAACTGCAACAGCTCTCGTTTTATTTGACCCCTGATTTGAAATGAGGTGTCAAAGATTGCTGTTGGGAATATCTTTGTCGTTGCATTTTTCTCTGCGATTGTATCCGAAATGCATCGTTTTAATGGAATAGCTGTATAATAGTACCTGAACAACATTTTAGAGTCCGGTATGTAGAAAACTGACTGAACGGAAGTGTCATCTACGTCATGTTTGTCCAGTTGGACTTTCATCTCCGTGAGAGGAGACAGTCTGTCCTTCTGTTCTCCGTTGGCAATGTACGTTCTTAATCGTAGCTCCGCTGAGATGCTGATCAGTACAGTCAAGTGGTGGGCATCTTCGTGACTGATCCGCTGTGTTTTGCGTAACTCTTCTATCATTGCCCACACACTGGGAATCGTAATACCGCAGCAAATACTCAACACATCAACGGCCACGCTGGGAAAACGATATATTTCTTTCTTCACATCCAGAAGCTGTCCCGTAGGTTGAACATTTTCTATTTGCCCAATATTATCCGTCAGTATCAGCGTTGCTGACAACCGTGAGAGAACAGGGGAACGGTCTACGATTTTGTTGACTCTGTCCGTATAATCATCCACCAAAGACTCGTCTCCTGCTAAGTAGGTCACCCGTCTGAGGATATCTGACAGGTGATAGCCTTCCGCCAGGGCGATGTGCAGATGCTGATATTCGGCCAACTTGGCAGGAGTCTGGATGAGACTAACGGGAGGTTTGCTTTTGGTTTCGTCTCTTCCAAAGGGAGTTTTAGAAGCCCATGGCATGAGGCCGTCGAAGGCGAAGCCGCGAGGTGTGACGGAGTCGAAGAACCAGTCTTTCTCCGAGTCTTCTGAGAGAAAGTCGTTGAGTGACGGGATGGCCATGGCTGGGAGGATGGTTTCCCCAAGGTTGATGACTTTTAGATGTAAGTAGTGAGTGAGATTTAGGAAGTACCTCCGTGTGTCATCATCATCCTTCCCCTCCTCAATCAGAATGGAGAACTCCAGGTCAGAGTACGGCGTCACCAGTTCTGTGGCCTGTGATCCCAACCCGATGAAAGCGTACTTACAGGGAGGAGGTCCAAGAATGGCAATGCATTCATCTGTCAGAACATAGATAAACCTTTGTCTTCCAACTGCGATGCTTTTGAACAAGTTCTTGATTGCTTCTGCTCGTTTGATCTCTACCTCTCTTACTATGGGATCATCTTCATCATACTGATAAGGGTTGTGTTCCTGATGAATTGTTTCGAGCTGAGATTTTGCACGGGCGCGCGAGTTGTCCAGTTCCTTTCTGTGATCTAACGCGCTGCTATACGGGCACGGTTCACAGTCAAGGTTACAGGTGTTTCTAAGGAACTGCCTTTCTGTTTCTTGCAGTCTTGTGATCATGTTCTGTTTGTCTCCATCTGTTCTAGCCATGGAGGCGTTATACAGAGCTGCCGCCTGTGTGAATTTCCTACCTTCTCCTGTCCGCTTACCTTGCTCGACGTAGACGTCACCCAACCTGCACAGACAGTCGGCTTCTTTAACCATGTTGGGCTTATCGCGATCTGTGAATAGGAATTCGGAATCAAACTTCTGCAGTTCAAATATGTATAAATCTTAACAAATATTAAGCTCCTAAGTGAAATACCTTTATGAATTCAATTGTTATTACAGAGCTAAATCTTCCATCATGATAAAGAATGCTATTTCAGTGGTTAGTAAAAACTTAAACTTAGAATTAGATGATATTTGCAAGTGGAAAGTGTATAACATTAACAGACCGTGAACAAGTTTTAGTGCGGCTGCTAAGTTCTGCTCTGCTGCGTCCAGGTCTCCATTTCTCACATCACTTTCTGCCGTCTGAATGTATCTGCGGTAGGATCTGTACAACGAAACAAACACTATTGGGGAAACAAACGTACTTTACAAAGGCAAGTTCCTTAAACAATAGAATGCCAATACTTTTTTTATTTTCTTACATAAATCTGTATAACCTATAGCTATATATAGTTAGTGTTATTGACAATATCAAAACTTAATGTCATACGCAGTAAAATGTAATGACATGTGTATTAAATATATTTCTCGCCATATTTTCTAATGTTGCCTAGTTAATACTAGTATTCATTTCACAAAACCTGATGTTTACCACACTTGTATACAAAATATCAGATATTCAGGACATTCATATCTAATACACGAGACAAGGAAGCACATAGAGGCACTAACATATCGTCGTCAACTTGACAGGTGGTTCCGTCGCTAGAGGGCGCAGCTGAGAAGGGAGAGAAGTTGCCCTTCCGTCCTCTCACGTCTCGTTGTCGTTGCTTATGCGTTGGCCTCTGTGAGAACCCATAGGGAGTAGTAGTATAAGATTAAAAGGTGGTCATGTAATCCACAAAAGAGCTTTGGCAAAAGGTTAAAGGTTAACGACCTGGCATGACCCGTGGCAGACCAACGCAAACTGAGTCCAAGTTGAATACAGAGTATTTGGAGGGGAATATAAAATTTGAGGATTGGTTGTTTATTTGGACAGCATTTGACTACAAGGGCAAAACAAGATACATTCCATGCTATTGTCAAGATCTACCCATATCCATGGCGCGAAATCTAACATATACATGTACCCACACACCAAAAATACATGTATACTATTTTTGTTGCACTATTCAGACGTGAAATGTACAGTACCAACTCAACCCATATTTTTTTCAGGCAGAAAGCACAATCGCTTAATTAACACCTTCTACTACTCAAAAACGCAATTTTCAACAAAATACATACATCATTACAAGATGGATATTAATTAAAAGAGAGATGAGTGTAAACAACACACGTTGGTAATCTATCAATTACGAGAATCTACCTGTACATCCATACTTTTGCTAGGGGAATTGTAGGTTGAAGTAAATAATCAAGTTGGTATCATTCTAGTCGAAAAAGGACACTATGTAAGACTTAAATTTCGCTATTAACGATGCGAAATGCATGACGGGATTCATGGGGATAAACAATCCTATTCGAAACCCGGAAGTCTAAATCAGCACTGGCGAGTCAGGCTCAAGTAAAAAAATACACTCACCTTGTTTCTTGTGGTGATCACGTCTTGTCTGATTTTTGCGGTGTGCAGCAAGCGGTGAACAATGACAACTGTTCCATGAACGTTGTGACACCGCGCCAGTGCCCTGTTGTACAGAGCAGTAGCTCTGGTCAAGTTTCTAGTGTCTCCAGTTTCTGTTCCTCTTTTTAGGTACACGTCACCCAGACTCTTGATCGCTTCTGTTTCTAACATGTCGTTGTCGTTTACTATCGCCTCTACCATCACCTGTCCGTATCCAACCAGCAAAGAGTCCGTGTTACCTTCGGTAGCCCGTCTCTTGTCCAGATATTGAAACTTTTCCGCTACCTTTGCAGGTGTAGTCGTCCCCTTGTCTTCAGTTGGCTGTTCCTTTGACGACAGCCCTTGTAAAAGTCTCTCCGTGTAGTGGTAGCGGTGTTCTATACCATCTGCCTGTTCTTCATGGTAACACCGTACCATAGCAGCCAGATAAAGCGCCAAGGCCGTGTTGAATTTCCCTACGTCCTTCCCGAGTCTTCCCTTCTCCAAGTTCACGTCGCCCAGAGTTTTGAGCAGCTCCACTTCCGCCAGCCTGTCCGTGTCGGCCATGGCGTCCACCAGGGCACGGAGGTAGCCTGTCTCCGCACGGGCTAGTCCGTACCTCCTGCCCTTCTCGTCCGCCTCACGGAGTTTCTCACACACCCGCAACATGGCTGATAGTTGCTATGCTAAGAAAATCTCTATGCTTCCTAGGCTTTATGCGCCTGACTTGAACAAGCACAGGTTTCACACTGCTTGTGTCAACATTACGTCATCCGCCAATACACAAAAGCTTCGGAAATACCCGTAAACATATCAGGTAACCTGCGTACCTGCCTAAGACCTTTAGAAGAACCCATGCCTGTGACTCATATATTTGTACAACCAGAAATTACAGTATTATATTAGGCTTTATGCACCTGACTTTAGGCTTTATATGCAAAAGATGAAAAAAAGTAGGAGTATTTGGCCACTCTACTTCCATTCCAAATTTCAGGTAATTTGGACCCCAACATGAAGAAAGTGAATGCATTCAATGGCAGCAGAAGGAGAAAAGAACAAAAACACAAGGGAAAACAATATATCCCAGCCATACCTATGGTATGGACTGAAATATCACACAATTTTAGCCCTAACGTTACATGGTATGATTGCAATATAATCACTCGGTTCTTCAATTGAAATATTTCAAATTTCTGATAATCCCTCCATGGCTTTTGAGTTATCGTACTAAACCACACACATGCATGCAGAAACTACCAAAACATAACCTCTAGGCAAGTTTAAAAACATAAATTTTTGAAAATTCGTCAACATTGATTGAGATGCAATTTAACGTTACCTATCTTGATGACGTTCTATCGTTATGAATTCAAGCTTCCTGGTTACTAAAAAGTATTAGTTAGAGAAATATGAGGCCTAAAAACTTTATGAGTGCCCCTTCCTACATCTTCTTGAAAATGAGCTCTCCGAGCAATCATTCATTCTCGGTACCAGTCGGTACTAGTCGGACGATCCCCGACTTGTGCCGACAACTCCAAGCAGATCTTTCGGTGGCTGCAAAGACAGTATCAAATTGGGTAGGCAGTACTAGTATCCGCTCGTCGGACAGTATTAGATAGTAAGAGAGTCCAATAAAACGCCTTGAACATCTTCCGTTGCATCCTTTGGTTGACCTTAAACCATGCGTCAAGCTACACGAAAGTAAAGAAACGGAAACTTTACGCGTGTTTTAAGGGATCCGTAAAGAAGAGTTTTGTCCTGTGATAATTTTATATGTCCATAAAGACATAACATTAACCTGTGCATGGGTTTAGGTCTTAACGGTAAGAGTGTAAGACTACAGAGACACACCCCTGTCATTGTACAATAGCACAGCCCGGTGACCAAAACAGAGAGCATGGTCTATATTTATTACCGGTGTTTTGCTGCAATATGTAAAAGTCACATAGGAGGCGCGGATGATAAGTGCATACGGAGATAGATTGTAGTGTTTGGGATTATTTCAACTGGTGTTCAGCAAATGATTCTGGTCTTATACTGCGGCATTTAAGGTTAACTTGAAAAGGGACGTGGTAGGACTTCCTTAACCCCTGTGACCCCCCCCCCCACGCACACACATATGGTTTTCATTAAATCATTGTTTTCTCAATAAAAGTTTCTTGTAGTCTATGATCCATTACAAATAACGTAGTCACTAGGAATATTTAAAAATCACTTTTACTAACACTTGTTTATCATGTGAATTTTGTCAAGGGAGGAATATTGTTAGCTACATCATTTCTTTGTTTTGTTTGTTTCGCATAACCGGTAAACTGCCTTTAGGCGTAACACACCAGTTTTGTACATGTAAGTACAAGCTGTGTAAGATAGGATTGTAAGGTTTAAACCACTCATACCGCCAACACCGAGGTCAAGGTCAATCACCCACATTTACAAAATACACCGTCAAGTTTTGTACTAAGTTTTACTCCAAGTGCCCTTCACTAAAACACTTTTAATACAAAACATGTACTAGAATCTCAGCGTGAAAGTTTTCTGAGTTAATTATCTACATTCTCACTGGATGTCAAAGACAAAGAGACAAAAAGGCGGGATGGGCTTGGTAAGTTTAATGTTGTAAAACACGACAATCCACGGGTGGGTGAGTGGAAGAAAGTTCAGATGTGCTCAAGTACGTGAGCTTCACCACTACCGCTACTTGTGATGTTAATACAGTAATAATAATGGAACTTTATTGCATGTTCATTCCCCGGGGGGGGGGGATAAATGCACGGATGTACAAAGTACAATAAACTAAAGAGTACTACAACAATAGTAATAAAGAAAGGCTAATATCAGGTCTAAGGTATACAATGACTAAAAAAAAAGAAATATATATATATTAAGTGGTATTGATCTAAGTTCTAATGGCTTTTTCTCTCACATACAAGGGATGATCTCTGGGTCGCGTGAGGTCAGGGGTCATTTCCGTGCATCTAGTTAACTTATTTGATATAAAGCTGAAATATTCACAAGTATTACACAACTGACAATCCGCGAGAAAAGCCTGTCTAACTCCCTCCGCGGCAAAACTCGGGTCGACCAGCAAAAAATCAACACCACCACCTATGCCACCGCACAAGTCTACATTGCCATGCTACATAGTCTTTTGTATAAATTATGGTACGTTGGTTTCCTTGAATTGCTTTGATTTGAAGTAAAAGGAGTTGCCATATATTATATTTTATACAATTTGTGAGCAACAAAACTATATATTAATAAGACAGTGGGAAGTACCATGGAAGTACTCATCTTAAGTTCGGATTTGCGGTAACAAACGGCTATTCACGGAGCCGGGCCTTTTTACATACTCGGATGTTGTTTAGTGTTCCTACTATATCTGGATGTGATGTGTTGCCCCCGTAAATAACTTTCATCATATCCAATGACTGTTCAAAATAACTGATAGCTTTCCTCTGATAACCGATTCCACTCCAACATGCCCCAATATTGTTGAGAGATGAAGCAATGTCGGGATGTGGCGTTGTTTCACCATAGATAGCTTTCCTCATCTTGAGTGACTGTTCATGATAAGAGAGAGCTTTCCTCTGATCACCAAGGCACCTCCAACAATTGCCAATGTTGTTTAGTGATCCAGCAATGTCAGGATGTGGCGTTGTTTTACCATAGATAACTTTCCTCATCTTCAGTGACTGTTCATGATAAGAAATAGCTTTCCTCTGATCACCAAGGTCACGCCAACATGTTCCAATGTTGTTTAGTGATGAAGCAATGTCGGGATGTGGCGTTGTTTCGCCATAGATAACTTTCCTCATCTTCAGTGACTGTTCGTAGAAACTGATAGCTTTCCTCTGGTCACCGATTCCATTCCAACATGACCCAATGTTGTTCAGTGATGAAGCAATGTCAGGATGTGGCGTTGCTTCACCGTAGATAGCTTTCCTCATCTTCAGTGACTGTTCAAAATAATTGAAAGCTTCCCTCCGATCACCAAGGTCACTCCAACATGCCCCAATGTTGTTTATTGATGAAGCAATTTCGGGATGTGCTGTTGTTTTGCCATAGATAACTTTCATCATCTTTAGTGACTGTTCGAAATAACGGATAGCCTTCCTCTGATCGCCAAGGTAAGTCCAACATTCTCCAATGTTGTTAAGTGATGAAGTAATGTCTGGATGTGGCGTTGTTTCACCATAGATAGCTTTCTTCATCTTCAATGACTGTTCGTAATAACTAATAGCTTTCTTGTGATCACCAAGGTCACGCCAACATGCTCCAATGTTATTTAGTGATCTAGCAATTTTGGGATGTGGCGTTGTTTCGCCGTACATAGCTTTCTCCATCTTCAGTGCCTTCTCGTGATAGCTTATAGCTTTCCTCTTATCTCCAAGTGCCCTCCAACATAACCCTATGCTTCCAAGTAATGTGGCAAATACGGTACTCGTTTTGGTGCCTCTGTATATATAATTCCCAATGCGTAGTGCCTGTTTGAAGTAGGTGATCGCTTTCCTACAGTCACCGCGCCTGTACGAGACATTGCCTAGGTCAAAAAGGATGTCTAATTGTTTTTTCTTGTCACCGCCCGCCTCTTCCAGTGCTGCCTCAAAGTGACGTATGGATGCGTCTAACTGCAACAGCTCTCCTGTTATTTCACCCCTGATTTGAAATGAGGTGTCGTAGATTGCTGTTGGGAATATCTTTGTCGTTGCATTTTTCTCTGAGATTGTATCCGAAATGCATCGTTTTAATGGAATAGCTGTATAATAGTACCTGAACAACATTTTAGAGTCCGGTATGTAGAAAACGGAATGAACGAAAGTGTCATCTACGTCATGTTTGTCCAGTTGGACTTTCATCTCCGTGAGAGGAGACAGTCTGTCCTTCTGTCCTCCGTTGGCAATGTACGTTCTTAACCGCAGCTCCGCTGAGATGCTGATCAGTACAGTCAAGTGGTGGGCATCCTCGTGACTGATCCGCTGTGTTTTGCGTAACTCTTCTATCATTCCCCACACACTGGGGATCGTAATACCACAGCAAATACTCAACACATCAACGGCCACGCTGGGAAAACGATATATTTCTTTCTTCACATTCAGAAGTTTTCCCGTCGGTTCAACGTTTTCTATTTGCCCAATATTATCCTTCAGTATTAGCATTGCTGACAACCGTGACAGAACAGGGGAACGGTCCACGCTTTTGTTGACTCTGTCCGTATAATCATCCACCAAAGACTCGTCTCCAGCTAAGTAGGTCACCCGTCTGAGGATGTCTGACAGGTGATAGCCTTCCGCCAGGGCGATGTGCAGATGCTGATATTCGGCCAACTTGGCAGGAGTCTGGATGAGACTAACGGATGGTTTGCTTTTGGTTTCGTCTCTTCCAAAGGGAGTTTTAGAAGCCCATGGCATGAATCCGTCGAAGGCGAAGCCGCGAGGTGTGACGGAGTCGAAGAACCAGTCTTTCTCCGGGTCTTCTGAGAGAAAGTCGTTGAGTGACGGGATGGCCATGGCTGGGAGGATTGTTTCCCCCAAGGTTGATGACTTTTAGATGTAAGTAGTGAGTGAGATTTAGGAAGTACCTCCGTGTATCATCATCATCCTTCCCCTCCTCAATCAGAATGGAGAACTCCAGGTCGGAGTACGGCGTCACCAGTTCTGTGGCCTGTGATCCCAACCCGATGAAAGCGTACTTACAGGGAGGAGGTCCAAGTTTGGCAATGCATTCATTTGTCAGAACATAGATAAACCTTTGTCTTCCAACTGCGATGCTTTTGAACAAGTTCTTGATTGCTTCCGCTCGTTTGATCTCTACCTCTCTTACTATGGGATCATCTTCATCATACTGATAAGGGTTGTGTTCCTGATGAATTGTTTCGAGCTGAGATTTTGCACGGGCGCGCGAGTTGTCCAGTTCCTTTCTGTGATCTAACGCGCTGCTATACGGGCACGGTTCACAGTCAAGGTTACAGGTGTTTCTAAGGAACTGCCTTTCTGTTTCTTGCAGTCTTGTGATCATGTTCTGTTTGTCTCCATCTGTTCTAGCCATGGAGGCGTTATACAGAGCTGCCGCCTGTGTGAATTTCCTACCTTCTCCTGTCCGCTTACCTTGCTCGACGTAGACGTCACCCAACCTGCACAGACAGTCGGCTTCTTTAACCATGTTGGGCTTATCGCGATCTGTGAATAGGAATTCGGAATCAAACTTCTGCAGTTCAAATATGTATAAATCTTAACAAATATTA